TATTCTTCATCATAATCCTCATACTCCTCATCCACCCCACCATTAAAACTCGCCAGCTGAATCGGGTCCACAGCCATTCTTCCCATATCATCCATCGACCAACCAGGAATATCTTCTTGCTTCTCTTTAGGACAAGGCTTCGATGATGAATCACACGAGGCTCGACTGGCTAATGCCTGAGAAGAATCCCCATTCTCGCTGAATTCGATGTTGAGATCGAAATTTCTAACCGATTTAATATCTGCATCTACTCCACCAACACTACTACTGTTGGGCCTTGTTATGGGATCCTGTTTATGATTCTCATCACACGGGAAAGAGTTTTCTGGATAATCTTCGTATTTTTCGTGCTCAACATTAGATTCTCTCTCTAGGGCTCGTCTGCCCCTGCCCCTACCCCTACCCCTGCCCCTACCCCTGCCCCGGCCTCCTCTGCCTCTCCCACTACTGCTGAGGTGAACAGTGGTCTCATGCTGAAAAAGGAATAAAGTCAACAGGGTTTTTGTAAATTGTTAAAAACTAGGGAAATATATGCACAATGAAAAAGAACTGATTTTCCTTTTTATTTTATTCTTCTAAAAAGGTATGTATGCTAGCATGATAAATGTTTCTGCAAGAATGAATTTTTGTGAGCATAAACTTAGCTGCTTACCGTTACAGTTCTTTTGGGCTCATCATCAGTTCCATCTTCATCTTCGGAAATCTTCCTGCATTGAACAGATAAATTAAATTCCAAAATTGTTGATCTCTATTTACTCACTTTGAATAAGAAAAACAAGTTGTGACAATTAATTTTATCAAAAAACCTTCTTTTGGTGGCAGATTTATCCTCCGCAACAGCATCCGAACCACCCAAATCAGGTACCTTACTGACCGTGTCCTTTAAGAAGTCAAACACATTATAGCTCTGTACACATTGCTTCCTGCAAGTTGAATAATCAAAAGTTAATATAGGAGCTGAAAAGTGCTTTTTAAGGGGGTACAAATTAACAGACAAATAAATTCCTGAAGAAACTTACAAATGCAAAGAATTTAGAGTTTTCGCTCCCTTTTTAAGAGTAATCTCGTACGTCCGGTCACATAGATCTTGTAGAAATAGTTCCAGAGCTTTTGCTGCATAGACATAATTTAATTTTAACGAACATGCCACAGATCGAATATATCAACTGAAAAAAAAAAAGGAGCCAGATGGAATACCAACTAGATAATTCAAATTACATACACACTAAAAGAGGTACAGCCATGGCAATCTTTCCTACATCCTCATCGGCTTGCATAATCTTTTTAATCCGAGCCTGCGAAAAAATCGAAATATTTCAATCACATCACAAGACAAAGCCACAAGGCGCATTCACCACCAACTTATGATTAAGCCAAGTTCAAATATTCAATCTACAACTTGACTATAAATTTCTAATTTTCACAGCCTATTTACTCCAACATAAATCACTTCAACTAAATCAAAGCTGGACTTTAAAAAAAAAAACAATTAAATACTAAAAAAAATATTAACAAAAATAAATCTTGCTGAAAATACCTAATTTTTACAGCCTATTTACTTGTACACATGTAATCACGTCAACTAAATCATAGCTGGAACTAAAAGAAAATAAAACAAAAATAATCAAATACTGAAAAAATAATAAACAAAATTAAATCTTGCTGAAAGAAAAATTACTTTACACTAATCACTCTCACAGCCGTAACAACCTTGAAAAAGAGAAATAAAAAAGCAGAGCCATTCAAAACGAAAACCCTAATTAGTTCCATTAACAGGACATAAGAAAACTACACAGAGCGTACTTACAGCCGGAAAGCGCGTGTCGAGTTTCTTCCTCATGGCGTTCAAGCTCCCCGACGATCTCAATTTCCGAAACCCTAGCTTCAAGCCTTCAACTCGATAAATCTTGCACCCGAGTACGACACAAGAAATTCGACGCTTACCAAGCCAAAAAACCTTCACCAGTTTTGCCGCAGAAAATTCAAAACTTGACGCTTTCCAACAAATTTAATAGTGCTAAATAAATAAAAAAGNNG